ATAGCGAATCATACTGGAATTGGAACTCGGCTCTCCGATTATGAATTCTTCCAAAGTTACGGCACCTGGTATTCAAGAAGGTTAGCCATCGAGGTACTGTCCAGGTTCGACGTTTTTTAATTTCATCATCTATACTGGAATTGGTGTTTCAACGTGATATGACTGAAACCCTAGGAGGTAACAAGCACATTTCATATTTGAGAGAAGACCAACCATATTTAGAGAAGGAACAATTTACAGGTTTAAAATGCAATATGGATGACCTTTGTCGAGTATGATCAACAAAAGGTGCCATTGTAAGAGTTAGTTTACTTCAAACAGACATGGCTCTTTAAACTGGACATATAGCCTCTGATACAAAGACAGAGATCTTGTTTTTATGAAATAGCTAGGCTGGGATATGACGACATATTTCAAGCTCTGCTAGAGGTCGTTAACTTTCAACCGGTTCTAACACAATAGAAAAAGGAGTGAGTCTTTCTCCTCCCCACCAGCTACGGGTTTAATATCATAGCAAACGTTATTTTCTATCCTTGAGAACAGTACTGATTTTTTTTACAAGCCTATACCACGATTTAGATAAATGTTTCTAAAATATTAATTAAATTCATAAATATGCCTTTTTACAAAATATCCTTCGGCAAGTGGAACTGATGATTTTTTATATACATTGCAGACATGAACATGCTATGAACCATAAAATATATAGTCTTTTGTGGCTTTCTATAAAGAAGATACGAGGCTATTAACTATTTTCCACTCGAAACAATGTCAACAGTAAAAAGGGATTTCTTCTTCCCAATGAAATCAAGGGAAACGAGGATGATTCGACCATGTGGAGCTGGTATAGAAGGCCTTATATATGAACAACTGAAGTGACAGACCTAAGGCATATATCTCGCCAGAAAATTTCCCATGAAAACAGCGAATAGCTGTCTACATTTTGTCTGTTCGAAATGTATTGTAAGGTGAAAACTAATTAATCCCCACAAGACCGGCGAAGCTTTTTTTGTTTTCTGACGTCAGTGGAAACAGTGAACTGCGCAGGTCTAGATAACAAATGGTAGCAATACTCCATTTTTGATCGAATATTAATATCGTCTGTAACGTAAGATAAGATAAGATTAAAAGCTTGAATTTTCCAGTACCATCTCAGAAGATAGATAGATAGATAGATAGATAGATAGATAGATAGATAGATAGATATACACTGAAATAGATAGATATGAACAGACGGAGATAGATAGATAGATAGATAGATAGATAGATAGATAGATAGATAGGGATACACTGAAATGGATAGATAGATAAATAGATAGGAAAACACTGAAATCGTTCAATCGATAGATAGATATAGAGAGATAGATTTATAACAATAGACTGAGATAGATAGATAGATAGATAGATAGATAGATAGATAGATAGATAGGAATACACTTAAATAGATAGATAGATATGAACAGACGGAGATAGATAGATAGATAGATAGATAGATAGATAGATAGATAGATAGATGAGATAGATAATAGATAGATATGAATGACGGATATAGATAGATAGATAGATATGAACAGACGGAGATAGATAGATAGATAGATAGATAGATAAATAGATAGGGATACACTGAAATGGATAGATAGATAAATAGACAGGAATACACTGAAATCGATCGATAGATAGATAGATATACAGAGATAGATTTATAGGAATAGATTGAGATAGATAGATAGATAGATAGATAGATAGATAGGAATAGATTGAGAAGGTAAGGCGATTCATATTATTGCTCATACAAAACAAACCCAAGCGCCAAGAGTCTCTCACGGTAGAACGTTATTGAATGAGCTTGTCTTACAGGCTTGAGTGGAAGTAAGAATTACGTATTGTGATGACATCTAAGATGGAAAACGGTTGACCTTAAACTTGGAGGGTATAATATTGTTGTGTTTGGAGAAACATTCTTCTCTCGAGTTTGTAGTACAAAGTAGTGACGGCTTTGGGAATAACATCTCCGAATTGAAATGGAGTACCAAGGAAATACAAAGAAAAGAAGCTTCGGATATGAAAGCCGCCAACCTTGTTGTCGAATTAAGGCTCTGCTATTTTCACTTTTACAACCTGTATTACACACATGGCAAACAAAGTTTGTTAGCCTTACCTATGGTGGAAATTTGCCTCTCTCTGTGTCCAATCATGTGATGTTTGATTCACGCAACAGACTTACAAACCCTGTTACGAAACTTGCACATGTAATCTGCAGGTCTTTCTGGTAGAGTTGCATTGACAGTTGTTTGCTCCTGATCTCTCTGGTATGATCTCACATGAATGAATAAACCAGCCGCCAAAATGATGACTTTTCAACAAATACTGCAAATGTGTTGGTGTCCTAAGTGTTCCGGGACAGATAGAAAGATAATGAACATACTGACATAGATAGATAGATAGATAGATAGATAGATAGATAATGAACATACCGAGATAGATAGATAGATAGATAGATAGATAGATAGATAGATAGATATGAACAGATTTAGATAGAAAGATATGAACAAACTTAGATAGATAGATAGATAGATAGATAGATAGATAGATAGATAGATAGATAGATATGAACGGATTTTGAAAGATATGAACAGACTTAGATAGATAGATATGAACAGACTTAAAAATATATGAACAGACTTAGATAGATAGATAGATAGATAGATAGATAGATAGATAGATAGATAATGAACATACTGACATAGATAGATAGATAGATAGATAGATAGATAGATAGATAGATATGAACAGATTTAGATAGATAGATAGATAGATAGATAGATAGATGCTTGCTAGGTATCTATGCTAATGACTATTCCTGTTTAAATAAGTCTAATCAAATACTGCAAAAGTGTATGTGTCCTAATATATATATATATATATATATATATATATATATATATATATATATAGAGAGAGAGAGAGAGAGAGAGATAATGAACATACTGAGATAGATAGATAGATAGATAGATAGATAGATAGATAGATAGATAGATAGGTATGAACAGATTTAGATAGAAAGATATGAACAGACTTAGATAGATAGACAGATAGATAGATAGATAGATAGATAGATAGATAGATAGATAGATAGATAGATAGATGTATGCTTGCTAGGTATCTTTGCTAATGACTATTTATTCCTGTCTAAATAATAAGTCTAATTAAATACTGCAAATGTGTTGGTGCCTATTAGCTCTGACACGGATTCTATTTCTCCTTCGTTATTGCACGCCTTTTGTGGGAATGCTCCATTCTCTTCTGTTCAAAAATGTTTCAACTTTCCCCAAACCAACCTTATTCAGCCGGATCCATCTCTGGTAACAGTTTCTCAGTCTACAACTCTAACTCCAGCAGTCTTTAGGTTAAATTTAATTAGATTCTTGAAACGATTTTTGCGGGGTTATGAGCAGGTCGATTACCTTTTACCAGTTCACGATAAAAACAGTCTTTTAGCAATCTGTCATCCTTCAAACGTCAGATTACCTGTCCAGCGGATTGGATTACGGAAAAGTTTTTCTATGTGGTCTATATTTGCGTCCTCTCTTCATAATGGCGCGCTTTTTGTTGGAATTCTCGTCTGCTCAGAATTGTTACAGCGTTCCCAAACTTCTCCAGCCGGATCTATCTCCAGCAACAGTTTCGTAGTCTTCAACATTAACGCCAATAATCTTTAGGTTACCTTGTAACAGCTGACCATGAAAAGGTCTTTTGGGGCAATCTGTCATCTTCCATACGTGACACATGACCTGTTCAGTGCATTTGATTACGAAGTAGTGTCTCTATGCTAGCTATGTTTGCGAGATGAAGGACTTTTGTGTCTGATGTACAAGACTGTCAATTGATTTCCAAGATTCATCTGAGGCACTGCTGGTGAAAACACTCTAAGACGTTAATGTGCCTTTGAAAGATGGTCTACGCTTTGGAGGAATATAAAAGCGTGGTTAGGGCAACTCCTTCGTAGATACTTAACAATATACATACCTAGATACTCAACACTCAAAAAAATTACATTTCAAACTCGTCACAACTCATTACATTGTATCTATACATATGATTTTGCTGTTAATATTACTTTCTCTCGCGTGGTACGATGTCATAGAACCACATCATGAATTTACGACCTGCGTCTGTTATTCCACGACCGTTATCGTCTCATAATCTTCTATGTTAACATAACAGAATATCATCTTTGATGGTGAATATCTTTGTTGAACTGTCCATATAACCACTCTGAAGATGGCTCATATGAGTCGAAAGCTTAGATCAAGAAATGCTGGAAAATTTTTGTTTTTATTTTTTCTCGAAATTAAAGCATATATACTAAGTTTAGAACGGCTTATGATCAAACATAATAGACATTCATTGTCTGGCATATTTAACATTATATATATATATATATATATATATATATATATAAAAAAAAAGAACAGTAAGATATGTAATCCGGTGTACTTATTGATATTTTTACTTTTACAAAACAGTGCTCAATGTAAATTTACAGAGCATAGATATTATAAATTAACTGATTTAAGATACGGTTCCTTCGCTACACAGGAATTACCATGTTTCAAAACCGGAGCTAAAACTTCAAATTTAATTATATAATGAAATTTGAAGTTTTTAGCCTGTTTTTTTTTTAACATGGTAATTCCTGTGTAGAGAAGCAACTATATTTTTAAATCAGTTAGTTTATATACACACACACACACACAAAACACACACACACACAAATATATATATATATATATATATATATATATATATATATATATATATATATATATATAGAGAGAGAGAGAGAGAGAGAGAGAGAGAGAGAATGCGAATTTTTGTGTATTTATTTTCATAAACACACTAGTTACTCAGAGAACTCAATCGGCTTGGAGAGTCTTGCACTATCAGCAGTAGTAGTGACTGTTTACAAATTCGCCTTACTCCCTAGAGTGCTCAATCGTTTAAATTATTTTATTGAGAGCTAATATTGTCATCCAGAGAGACTGTTTCGCTGGATCACAGCTAATTAACGTGGCTAGACATCCGATAACTTCAGGCCGGTATCGAAATCCGACCGATTTTGGATCTGTCAGAGATTCTAGCCCCTAGGCATTCGACGAATATATATTTAAAAATGTTTAATTCAACTTTAAGCTGAAAATTATTTGGAAGAAATTTTTGTAATTTGTCTTTTTCAATTTTCTAGGGCCATTAAGAAATTCGTTCGTGGATTTGAAAGGACTCTCTCTTCGGCATCCGTCCGTCTCGGAAGACGATGGAGTAACGCTGCAGTGCGCTACGAGCCTGGGCGGGATGTATGGAGAACTAGGGATGACGTCTAGTTCCCCCTCTCGGCCTTGCTAGCAGAGTCCAAAGGAGATGATACACCAATACAGTTTGGTACCAACGGGGCTGCAGGAGTTGCCGGAAGGTAACACAAAGTGCCGTCCATCCGCTTTAGGGGCTTCACACCGGGTTTGAATTCAGAGTTGTCCTTCTCCTAGACCAGTTGCCATCCAAGGCTATAAAACCCAGTCTGTCCTGCTATATAAAACAGTGTTTAGTAGGCTGTGTTCAAAGAGCTTTTACACCCATCTCATTCAATCTGCTTATTCGTCGTCGTCATCCGTCCGTCTAGAGAGTCGATGGAGTAGCGCGGTGCGCTGCGAGCCTGGGCAGGATGAATGGAGAACTAGGGTTGCCCGGACGTCTAATTCCCCCTCTCGGCCTTGGTAGCAGAGTCCAAAGGAGAGGATAAACCAATACAGTTTGGTACCATCGCGGCTGTAGGAGTTGTCGGAAGGTAGTACAAAGTGCCGTCAATCCGCCTTAGGGGCTCCACTCCGGATTTGTGTAGGGTTTACTCCTTAGCCTTTCCTTCTGCCGAAGATTTCCACAAGGCAGTGGAGCTATTTAACCCATAGTCCGGGTTTGATTCATGGGCACCACGGCGTGTCCCCACAACTGTGGGCCTGCATGCTAACATGTTAAGGGGGGCGAAACTCCTCCCCCGTCCCCTGTAGTTTAGCAAGGTGCTCGGTTGCCATGTGTCGCCACGAGGAGGCATTGCAGAGGGCTTGCTGACTGGCAGGGGTAGACTTAGGCACTCGGCTCCCCTTTTCGCATTGCTGCCAGCCAGCGGTGTAACTGAAAGCGAGAAGCAACAAGCACTACCACTACAGACCAGCACACTAGACGAATCACAACAGCCGTTGAGACACACTTGAAAGGACTAAAACTAAAATAAATAGACTATATACATATGAATTAAAGCAAATTAATACGGCTCATGATCAAACATAATAGACATCCGTTGTCTGTTATATTTAACAATATGTATTTAAATAGCTAGATACATATATATATACAAAGTTTCTCAAAAAATAAGTCACAAAAACACACACACGCACAAACACAAATATCCTTGAAGTACAACAATACAATAGATACCCCAATTCCGTGATATAAGCAAACAGATAAATACTCAGATGTTGATAGTCAAATATATACTTGTTTACATGTCTTCAATTATTCATAAAGTTATAGAATATCCATGACTAATCATTACATTAATTCAGCTTCTCTGTTAAAATAACATCCATTCTTATGATAAACGAGGTAAAGGCGTGACATTTCGATTGGTAAAATTGTCGAATATTTTGACAGATAATCGATATTCGATCACGCAGTAGAAATGTCTTGTAAAACCGGCCTGTCGATCTATTAGACATGACAATATTTTTTTTTCACGCGCCTAAACATTTTTGAACACATGACAATGATCCTGTCGTCGCCTTTACAAATTCCGGAGCCGGGGATTATCTGAGATGAAAATCAATACTCGCAAAGAATTACGGCCATATAGCGTTGCCACACCAGTTCCCGTACGATCACTGAAGTTAAGCAATGACGAGCTTGGTTAGTACATAAATTGGTGACCGTTTAAGCATACCAGTTGTGGTGAGATTGGATTTGATGCTGGTATAAAAGCTTTATGGCCATATCACTTTGAAACATCGGTTCCTGTACGATTACCGAAGTTAAGCAAAATCGACCCTGGTCAGTACCTAGATGGGTGACTGCTTGGGAATGACACCTGCTGTAAGATTGAGTGTCGGGATGGATAATGCTTTGCAATTCTTAATCGGAGAGCCGAGTTCCAATTCCAGTTGGGTTCATTATATTCCGTCACGCGCAAAGGTCTTGGGAAAGGTATGAATTCCCCTCTACTGTTACCCAGCTACGGGTGAATTAATAATTATTTCTATCACTAAAATCACTATTATCGGAAAAAATATTCTCACAATCTAGAAATAATTTCTAGCAGAAAATGTTTTTAGATGATGAGAATTTTCTTTTACTTGAGAAAGTCTGAGAAGCCGGAGAAAATGAATTAATCAATTATATGTATATATCTGAAATGTTAGCATCCACGTAATCCAATTTGAAATTGATTTCATTAATTTTCATATACCATTATAACATTATTATAACAGATTATAAAATTATTATAACTTTATTATAACGCATTATAACATTATTATAACAGATTATAAAATTATTATAACTTTATTATAGCATAGACATAAGATAATTATAACGTAGTTAAAAACATTATTATAACTGAAAATAACATTATTATAACATTATAGCGTAGTTATAACATTATTATAAAAGATTATGACATTATAATAAAGTTATTATAATATAGTCATAAGATTATTATAACATAGTTAAAACATTATTATAACTGATAATATTATTATAAGAGATTATAACCTTATTATAATATTATAATAGCATAGTTATAACATTATTATAACTGATGATGACGTTATTATTATAACAGATTATAACGTTATTATAACATAGTCATAAGATTATTATAACATGGTTAAAACATTATTATAACTGATAATAACATTATTATAGCATACTTATGATATTGTTATAATAGGTTATGACGTTATTATAACATTACAAGATAGTTAAAACATTAGTATAACAAATTATAACATTATATTAACATTATTATAGCACATATATGACATTTAAAGATTATAACATTATGAGATTATTATATAAAAGATTATTATAACAGATAATGACAATAGTATAACATTTAATAATTATTATAAATTAGCAATTAAATTCATTATTTGTAATAAACATTACACAATATATCTACACACACACACACACACACACGTGTGTGCCTCTTCATTCACCCTTTTAGTATTCATTTTATTTAACTTTATTTGACAATCGTAACCGTAGCATAATGTTAATGGTGACAATGGTAAAAATTATGTAAAACATTTGGCATTTAATGACCGAAAAGTCAGTGCCAATGTCACTTGAAATTTATAAATTAATTTATTAAAACAATTTTGCATGAAAATAGTTTTTATCAAGTTCACTGCTATTGCTCTTTCTAGTATCGTCCAAATACGCCATGGCAAAGTTTCCTTCCTCCTAACACTATTTCAGCTGTTTTTTTTGGGGCATTAGCAAACTGAATGGCATCACCCTGAACTGAAACAGTCCTAGGTGACATGCAAATTTCTCCTTGTCAGCCTCATCAAGGGCTACCTGCCAATACCCGGACCTGTCCAACGTAGAGAAGTATTTCCTTTCCCTTAATGCTATTTCATCTATTAGTGGCAATGGCACTGCCAACGGCTTCATATAGAATTCAGTTTCCTAAATCTTGGTGCCTCCACCACTGTCTCCAGAGTTACCTCATTCTCTTCTAGGTGTTTACAGGGACCATATGCATGGTCCTATATTTACATTAACCTATATTTCCTGACACCGCCGTTCTATATATATTCCTCCACCACTATTTTAAAATCCCATTTCTCTCGGAATTCACTATCAACACAAACCCTTATAGCCAATTATGCTGTTTTAGGTTGGGGTTTACGTAAAAATTTCGGACGTTTCTTCTAATAAACCATCTTCACAGGTAGCTCCCACCATCCCTTTTTTTATCACCATCCATCTGCTTGCGTGATTATGTCCGCTTCCCGTAACCCCAATACCCGCCTGTAAGCAATGACACAGATGCTCCTGTGTACCAGAGCTTTCATCAATCTACAGGATAGCTCCTTCCTTAAAACAGGAAGAGAACATTTGTTATTTTTTTGGTTTCCAACTTTATTTTTCCATATAGGCGCCGGTAGCAATAAATCACCTTCATTATTCTTACGATAGTTCTGCGCTTTCCGCATATGGGCGGCCCTATGGACCCTATATCTATGCGGCTGTTCCCCAGGATACTGCTTCTCCTCAGGTGCCCTGGGTCTCCTAGAAAACCAGCACCTTCTTGCCGGACATACCCATACCACATGTCCAACATTTTGCTTTTTTCTTCAGCTGGTTCTCGTTTTTTTTAAGTCCTCCACCCAATATTTGACCACTTGTCCAAGGTTTTAAAAACTGGGCCACCTTTTCCGGGGTGGCCCTTTTTTTATTGTCTTGTCTTTTGTTCTTTGTTAATATCAAATGCACCTTTCAGCCCGCATAAATATTTTCCACACCTAGTACACCTGTCCTGTTCGAAGTCTGGGGCAAACCCCACTTCGTCGGGACATTCCGCCGCTTCCCATCCAATTTCTAGGTTTTTTATAGAACCCACCTGGTTTTTTGCCTTTCTAACAATGAAGCTTTACCCTCCGATTCCACGCCGGGGTCTTCCGCCTTCCCCTTCTTCCGATTGACTTAGTATCTGTTTCTTCCACATTTTCCCTTTTCCCATATGGGCTCTCCAGATCGATTCTACTGCTCCAATAGTATCAATCGGTTGTTAACACGCATCACTTTAGTGCCTCCACCAAAACTGGGCCTGCATGACCCATTGTCTCTCAAAGGCCAATGATGACAGCTTCCCTGCTCGGGCCCCCAATTCTCCAGGGTTTCGTCCCGCAGCTGCGTCAGCTTTTGAAGGGCTCTCATGGCCTCTATATTGCCCTCGTCGGCGAACTCCTTGTTAATAGTCCCTAATCTTTCCCATGACAAGTGGGGTTCACTCTCAAGAGCCCCTTCACAAATTCAGACGCTTTTTCCCCTCATGGCATCATATGCCAGATACAGGTCTCCTGGTCTAATTCATATATAACTCGGCTCTTCTCCAGGATTGCCAGCCAGTTTTTGAAATCTTCCCATAAATGCTGGGACCCTTACCCAACAACCTCTAGGTCAGCTAATAACCCCCTTCATCCCCCCACTTCTTATGAATCATAGTCCGACATATTTAAAGAGAAAGACAATCTACGCAGCAACAATCGAGGTTGGGAAATCAAACAAAGTGTCCTACCTTACAGACGATTCTGCTCTCGTTCCTCCCGGTCCCGGGTCGTTTTGAGTCCTATTCGAAATTTCTCAGCAACAGCGGTCGGTCCAGGGTCCTGTCCTCTGTCACGGTACTAATTGTAGCAGTGGCTGTTCCAGGGTCCCATCCTATGGTCACGGCACCAATTTTTTTCACATACGTCCTTCAACGCAGGCCTTCGCTCGCTCCTCGCTTAATTTCGGGTGTCGCCGCCAAACGTGACGTCCGCCTGTCGCGTCATCTCTCGTCCTTGACGACCAACTGGCTTGGTATCGCGGCACCCAAAATGTGCTTCCAACGCCTGGTTACCAAAGTAACTGCACTGATCTCCAGTCTGCCTACCACGTTGTGAATTGATCTGACGAGATCAATCAGTAGTTGGGGCCGTAATGCAAATCGGGTTCAAACGGGGGTGACCCACAAATATGCATAAAATAAAATAAAACGATAACTCAAAAATTCAAGGTATCAAAAAAGGATAACAAACTTTATGTCTAGTTGTTGGATACATAGGACTGCGTTTCCGACCCGTTCTATGGATTGACACGTTGTTTTCCGTTAGGCGAGTTTTAACGCTTCAAGTTGTTTGCTCTTTTTAAGAAATGGGTTTTTCGATGTGTCCTCGGGCGAAAGTCGAAAAAAAACAAACTATTTTGGTGGTCTGGATCTAAGTCGCTCTTCAAATTATTGTTCTTGGATTGAAGAGGAGTCCGGAATTTGCGTGAATCTTTCAAGTCAGCTATCTGCGAGGTGGAACCAACTTCCACTGCGAATTTCGAGCTCTCTGCTGGAACTGGAACTGAAACTCTAACTCGAACTGATTTCGCTCGCTGCGATTTCGCTTATATGGACGCCGACCAAAACCGGGTGGATTTGTCGGTGCCGGGGGGTCCTCGATAATTCTAAATACATATCCAAATGGTTAGAATTTTTACTTTTTTTTCCATTTTTGGGAGCCTTCTTACTCCCACCTTCTCACCATACTTCAGAGGGGCGTGAACTGCCCTCCCCACTTCTTCGTAGCAACCTCTCATACCCATCTCCTAGATGGGCGGCGACAGCCTTCTCCTTGCGTCACGTGATCACCACTCGACCAATGATGTCTAGTCGGGCGTGTAATCCCGCTAGCTTTGTTTCAGGAAAAAAAAATATCTTGCTTAACAAAAAAAAATTATCTTTTTTTTTTCCTTTTCTTTAATCGCAGTTAGATTTTCTCTAGCCGCAAACAGAACAATACGATCGATGGTGGTCATAACTTTGTTCTCACCTGGGCTTGTCAGTCATCTTATCAAATTATCAGAATGGGTCGCCTCGAAAAGAAACATTTGTAGGTTCCCAATCATTTTTTGGTACATATTTCTGATAAATATAGTTTTATTATCGCAGGCTAAAGATGTTCTGCCGAAAGAAAAAACGGTCAGTGGCCACCTCGTGTGCGGCTTTTGACACAATTAATTTTTTCATTCTATCCAAAGCCCTGTAGTCCACCTGTTTTTCGTCACTTATCAAAATAACATTTTCATTTGGACTTTTCTTTGGCTAGTCGGTCTGTTGTTTGCTAATCAGATGCCTTCCCGCATTAGCGGTTTGTTTATGTATCCCGATAACACAGCCCGTCGCCAGAACACACCTGATTCCTTTATCCACCAAATTTCCCTTATGGTAATGACTTTTCGCAATTTGTTACTTATCAAAATATCTTTATTCATTGTCTCTTAGCCGTCTCATCCACGCTTTGGGTCTTCGCCTCTTTTCCTTTTCTTTCCTTTGTTTTCTTTTTTCTGCCTTTGGTAAATGGTGCCACAGTATTCACGAGCGGTCAACCACCCAGGTACCTACGAAAATCGATGTTGCTTAACTTTGGTGTTCGTACGGTTACTGTTATCTCAAGCACCTGGTATTCATTAGCGGTTACTCATTTACATACTGACGAGGCTCGACGTTGCTAAACTTCAGTCATCGTACGGGAATCGGTGTCTCAACGTGATATTGCCGTAAGCCATATCAGCCGCGCATCCAAGCTTACAGCACCTGGTATTCCCAAGCGAATACCCATCTATGTACTGACGTGGCTCGATGTTGCTTAACTTTGGTGATCATTCGGGAACGGTGTTTCAAATATGATATG